TCGGAGTCACCCCCAGCCCTGCGTCTCGATGGTAACATCGCCCGCCGAGGCGCGTCGTGATGGCGTCACGAGTGCGCGACGTAGTTCGGTTTCTTTGTGCAGCGCCTACGCCGGAACAGGATGGACCCCTGCGGAGGCTTTGACTAGACTGTCGGTGGGCTTTCCCTCTGAAGGTTAGAGCCCACGCTTCCTCCCTCCCCGCCAGGCAGGGTATTTTACTTACGTCAAAGCCGACGTGATGGCGCACGCCTGTAATCCCAGTGCGCGGGAGCCTGAGGCAGGAGATCGAGGCCGGCCCGGGCTCCACAGTGAGTGCAGGGCCAGCCTAGACTACAAAGCGAGACAAACAAAACAATATTCACGTGATAAAGCCACCTGTGGAAATTACAGAATGAACTAGATTTCTAAAATCAGACGAGAGATTTCCACTTTTCCTGTTTTGTGTATGCTTTCCTTACACAGTAATTCTAGTACTTAAGCTCAAAATGTCCAAAATTCACCTTCGAATCTGTTTATTGCCTTTTGTTGTTAGCGGAACCGTTTAGGTCAAAATAGCGGTCTTCCTCAGCTCGTGCTCCACAGACTCAAGTAAATGTGAGCCAGGCGTGGTGTGTCGCACCCGCGCTCCCAGGACTCCGGCGGCTGAGGCAGGAGAAGGTATTCGTGTTCAGGGCAGCTAGAGCAACAGGGGAAGTTCATAGCCAGCTTGAGCTACATAGCGAGACCCTGTCTCAAAAGCAAAAGTTAAAAAAAGAAAAGAAAAACAGTGAATGCATAGTTCTCCGGTTGATACTCATGTTCAGAAGTTCACGGCCAGTGTTTCATTACGCCTCACCTGGACCACTGCAGTAACCTAGTTTATTGCCTTGACCGTTTCCCGTCAGACACAACCCTTGTCACTGCTGTGCCCAAAGAGGAATTAGCAGGTTTCTAGCTTTGTATTCAGGGTGGGTTATCCTGTGACCTCAGCTTTTTCTGATGATTCGCTTTTGCTGAGAACCTGGCATGTGTCATGTGTTTCCAAATCCTCAAAAGAAGAAGCTTGGCTTAGAGTCGCCACTCAGGAGATGAGGAACAGACCCGTACTCACCCAGTACCGCACAACTGACAGTGACAAAGTCCAGATAATATTCATCTAACTTCAAAAACCATCAGTCACCAGGGGTGATGGTACATGACCTGAGGCCAGAAGATCGAAAATTCAAGGCCAGCCTGGGCAATTTAGTAAGACCATATTGTAAAATTAAGTTAAAGTCCGGGGATGTGACTCAGTGGTGGAGAGCACTTGCCTAGCATGTGAGGCCCTGGGTATAATCCCTAGTACTGGAGAAACAGCAAATAAACCATCAAGGGCCAGGGATTTGGCTCAGTGGTTCCGCTGCCTGCCTCACAAGCACAAGGTCCCAAGTTCTATCACTGGTACCAAACAAACAAACCAAAAAGCAAACAACAACAACAAAATAAACCTGCCTTTTTGTACATACCTACAATTTTTTTTAAGACTGAAAAAAAACTTTCTTGTACTAGCTCATTGTAGTACTTGTATCATTGGTATTTGTCAGTTTAGAGAAGGCATAATAAAATGTTTAGTGTCAATTCAGTAAGATTTCCAAAGGAATTTGTTGTAGTAACCAGAAGTAGTTATGTATTTTTAGGGTAGCTGTACGTAACATGTTCAAGGTGTTTTTCATTCTGTTGCGGTTGGCCACTTCTATAGAAAACCCCTGAAGTATTTTCGTCAGCAGCCAAATTCAGGCTTGCACATCAGCAGATTAGACTTTGTCAAATTGAAATATTCACTATTTGCATATCTGCGCTCCACCTTCACAGCACCACATTTTTATTCATGCTGTTTCCTCTGGCACTCTTGTTTCCATTTCTGCACAGCCAAATTCCACCTTCTGCTCCACTCTTCAAGTGCTACCTCCACAAAATTTTAGGTAAACCGAAACAGGCACTTCCTCTCATGAAGTGATACAATGGTATTTCAATACTACTTTTGTAGAATTTACCATTTGTATCTCACAGCTATTTCTGTACATATTTTTGCTGCTAGTGATACCTTGACAATAAGAGTAGATGTCTGGAACCTAATGCAGCACTTTGCGTACAGGTAAAATCTAACGGTCACCCAATGACCAGGAGAATGACCGGGAGCACTGTGTGGGTGTTCCGGTTTCTCAGTGTATGAGGACCACAGACAACAGTGAGCTAATTCATGTCTTCCACATATATTAACTTACATAAAAGTACAAGCAGATGGCAAGTTTTCAAGTTGTTGGCCCAGATCTAGAGCGTAGAGGGCTGACTTCTATAAACACTCACCTGCCCAAGTTCCCTTTGTTCTGACCATTCCTAGATGACTGAGATTGCTCCTCTCATCTGGCCCTTTCAGGTGCTTTCCTCCTGTCCCCAGATTTGAACTTCATGTATTTACCCTCCATAGAAGTGGGGAGAACCACGCAAAGTATTTGGAAGTTGTGTCGGGAACATGTTCACAGTTGGTGCAGGGTAGGCATGCGCATGTGCAAAGGGAGGACTTGCTATTGGGTGGTCCGCCGAGGTTCCCCTGGTAACCACATTCGGGTTGTTTTGACACTAACGGTAAGTCTACTTGCAAAATGGAGCTGTTTCATAATTTATAATTCCAGCTATGATAATGGGATAAGTTATTTATCTTCCTGTGTTGAGGCACAGAAGTTATGCATCTTCCTGTCCACAGGCTTTCTGCTTATTCATCTATTAAATGGAGACAACACTGCCTAATGCATGATCATGTCGTATCAGGACAACGCATTGTTTGAAAATAATGCAGGCTGTGGATGCACATCTCAGTTCCATAATCTGTACCCAAACCCTTAGCAGAGCTGGCCTCGGACATCACCTTCTGCATCACTGACAGGTGTTAGTCTGCTCCTCCTTGACAAGAAACACCCCTGGGCTCAAATATCTGCACGCTTCTCACCCTGTCTCCTGGTCCTTCCGGTGCCTCCGGCCGGGCTTTCCCTGCCACCAGTCCATCTGAACGACTCCGGTCAAGGTCCCCAGAGGCTTGCGTGTCCCTGACCCGGTAGTCGCTTCTCAGTCCTCATCTCCGCAGCAGCTGTCATCATCTCCCCTGGAGAACTGTTTCTTCTCTCGAGATCTAAGGCATCATCATCCTTCCCCGGCTTCCTCCTGCCTGCTTGGGCTGCTCCTGCTCAGTCTCTTTTCGGCTGCCTCTTCCAAACCTGGCTGCATGAAGGGCTTTGGTCCCAGGTTCTCTCTCCTTTGGTCATCTCACACTGGCTTTAAACCGGATATTCCCTGATGACTGCCACATTTGAATGTCCAGGTGGTCTTCCCTGATCCAGGCTTGGAACACCCAGCTGCCCACTCGACCACCCCATGCACGTTACCCAGTGTCCAGCATGTCTGAGACCGGACTTGTAAGAGCGGCTCCTCTCTCCTGCTCTGTAATCGTCCTGCCAGCATCTTGGGCGACAGACTCTGCCTTGTGGCATGGTTTCTGAGTGTTTCTTCAGAGTAGCGGCAAAATAGTGTGTCCTTCATCTAAGTTGTGAGCAGGTTTGGGATGAGGCAGGAGTAGCGAGTGAGGAGCTCAGCATCAGACACAGCCAATCCATCAGGAAAATAATCTGAAATGAGTCCAGAATCCGACATCATCACTGCTATGTGTCCTGACAGCTGCCGTTCCCTCTCACGGATTTCGATACCTCCTACCTGGACTTTGTGCTCCAGGAAAACCATTTTAAGGGCTGCTTGGTGTAAGTGCTCGGAGGCAGGCTATGTCTGCTAACTGGCAAAGGTCAAAGCTGGGCCCATCCTCCCATGGGACTGGAGGCGACGTCCCATTCTCCTGACGATTACGTCTCTGAGAAATGACTTTCAAGTGCTTGAGAAACATTCGTTGGGTTTGTACAAGATACCAAGTCACACTTGGAAGCCCTTTTTAGCACATGCCGTAAGAGTATTTATTTCAGGAAACAACTGTCAGGGGTTGTCTAGCACAAACTCTCCGGGCGGCCCTGTGCATGCTACATGTAGTATTTGGAGGTGGGGAGTGGGTGTTGGGCCTCCTGGGCCATGTCTGCACTGCCATGGTAGACCTGTCCTGTGCCGAGAGTTCTCCAGTTCTCAAGTCTCTGCTAAAACCTTTCCTCACTGAGGTCAGCACTGACTAACATTGCAAGCTACCCCCTCACTTACACCCCTACAACCCCTCCCTTTTACTTTGTTCCTGTTATTCCATCGCATAAATTATCTTCTACACATCAAAGTTAAGTGTTTGATGTTATATAGGATTATATATAGATTTAAGTAGCACATATTTAACATAATGTGCCTATGTAGGGTCATGTTTGAATGTAAACGCTACAGCAGTTGTTTTGTTCCTGTTTTGGTCTTCCATGTATTCCCAGTACCTGTATAGAGAGTGCAAGATTCAGACATAGTAATCAAGGGCAGTTCCTAGGTTCTCCATCTGAAAACTAAAAGGCTGACGCTTTCTTCACCACGACTGGAAACTCTGTGGGACTCGGAGCAGAGGATAGGAGAGATCAAGTATTCACTTCCAGGCATGTTAAATCGAGGTGCTGGACTAGTTGAGCTGCTGAGTTTAGACTAAATGTGATGCAATGAACAACTCCCCCAAATCCTAATGCCATAAAGCAAAAAGGTTCATTTGCTGGTCACATTTGTGCCCATCTCTGGTCAGTGATGCTTTTGTGAACTTCACCTCAGGACCCGAGCTGCTGGAGCAGCCTGCATCTGGAGAGTGGCTGGTGTCCAGCCAGAGGGAAGAAAGACTGCGTGGAGCCACTGATGTCTGCTGAGGCTGTGCTAAGGCTTTGGGAAGGCTGTGCATGGCTCCAGATTGTCCCTGCAGGTCACATCCCAGAAGTGTGGCCTCCAGTGTGGCCATACTAACAGGAAGCAGAGTCTTTAAGAGGTGGGTTCCCCAGAGGGCTCAGGAGAGATTAATGTAGTTCTCAGGCATCCCGCTTACTTCTTGAGTGAATGGGTTATTTAAAAAGAACAAAGCCAGTGGGCAGGGATTTAGCTCAGAGGTGCTGCTGCAAGCACAAGGTCCCAGTTCAATCCCCAGTCCCTCCCCAAAAAACAAAAGGACCAATGCCAGACATGCAGGAGCACACCTATAATCCCAAGCACTCTGGGAGGCTGAGGCAGGAAAATGGCAAGTTTGAGACCAGCTTGGGCAGTGTAGTACTTTAGCAAAATCCTGTCTCAAAGTAAAAATGAAACAAAACAGAAGGGCAGGGGGATATAGCTAAGTGAAAAACCATGGGGTTCAACCCCCGTGGTGCTATCTGCCAGAAGGCCTTGCCTTGAACCTCCAGAACTGTCATAGCAACAGAAAATCAAAGACTGTTCCTCTCAGAAATGGCTCATGTCATTTCCACTTGTGTTGTTGATGGAAGCAAGCTGCACAGCTAACCGTGACATCAGAAAATGGCAAATACAGTCCCAGCAGTGGAAAAGGTAACGAATATGTTTAGTGGTAATACAGTCTACAACACTTGTGTCTGTGATACATAAGTGGCAGGGTCATTAGGCACTGAAGCTCAAAAGAGAGAAGTCCAAGCTGGACCTACATATTTTGGAATCTTCAGCGCACAATATTTACATCTCTGGAATTAGAAGAGGCCACTGAGGGCTGGGAATTAGCTCAGTGGTTCTGCTCCTGCCTCGCAAGCGCAGGGACCCAAGTTCCATCCCCGGTACCCAAAACAAAACAAACAAAAAACAACAACAAAGAGGCCACCAAGGGGATAAGTTTAAGTAGGGAAGAGTCCCGAGGGAGGCTCAGCCGGGAGCACCTACGTACCTTGCAACCATGGAAATGAGAAAGGGTTGAATGCGACAGAAAAATGTGTAGTGAGAAAGAGGAGAGCATGGTGCCCCAGAGGCAAAGCACAGAGACGCAGGCAGGAGGGGGGCTGCCGGCAGCAGAGGAAAAGGGCTCGGCACGCAATGGAGACACTGGAAAAGATGCCCCAAAGCAGGTGTAGGACTGGGCTTCGGAGAAAGCCTGATTCCGGTAGGTTTAAGAGCGAATGGTACTAAAGGAACTTAAGGTGGCTAGTCTGAACAGACCACACAGATCACTCCCAGGATAATGGAGAAGTTCCACAAAACATGTCCGAGAGACCATGAGCTACAGTGCTAAAGATCAGGGGCAGCCAGGTGTGGTGGCACAGACCCATAATCTCAGCACCTTGGGAGACTGAGGCAGGAGGATTGCAAGTTCAAGCTTATCCTGGACAACATCGCAACTTAGAGAGATCCTGTCTCAAAATTACAAAATGAAAAATGGGCTAGGGATGTAGCTCAGTGTGAAGGTGCTGGGTTCTAACCCCTGGGCTGGGAAGGAAAAGGAAAGACCAGGCAGCCACAGGTGTTGGCATGGCTGGACAAAGTGCTGCCAACTCAAATCCATATTCTTCAAATTCTGTTCCTTGCAACTAAACTACCTTTTCCCCACCAATTTTTAACTTTTTACATTCTTACACTCTCACTTCCGTTTCCAGTTGTTATATTCTGATGCCCTTGTCCATTTATCCACACACTGTTTAGTTATTCCATTATTGTATGCTCTTTGCATCCTGTACCTGTAACATGCTTCATGATAGACCCTGTGCTTGCTCCCGCTGGAATGGAAATTCCCCGTGAGTGGGAAATGGCCTCACATCCCATGCACCCTAGCACCTGGCTAGCTGTAGGCAATGAAGAAACTCTAATTGGATGGATGGATGGATGGATGGATTTCACACGTTTAGGGAATGGAAACGTTCTTATGGCATAGCTGTTGGTTCAGAGGCCCAACCCAATGGACAACCAAATCCTTTCTAAAAGCCTCCCCGGGTTTCATCTTCCAGTAGGGAGCTGCTGCCTGGATGGTACCACAGCAGAGGACAAGGATTAGCTCATAAAAGGAGTTGCAATAACTGGGCCACTGTTTCAGGGGAAAAAAAAATCACATCCCTCCATTATTCTGTGCACCCAAATATATCACGAAGGAAATTATGGATTTAAATGTGAAAAATGATGCCAGAGAACTGTTAGGATTTTTTTTTCTTTGTTTGTTTGTTTTTTGGTACCAGGGATTGAACTCGGGTCTTTGTGTTTGCAAAGCAGGCAGTGGAACCACTGAGTTAAATCCCGTCCCAGGAATTTTTTTAACATATAGGTGAATATTAACTTTGTCTTGTTGGAGGAAAGAAAAGGCTAAGTTCTTGAGATAGATTCCACAAAACAAATATATATACATTTTTGTAGGGACTATGTTTAGGAATCTGATTAGACACCAAAATAAAACCTAATACAAATGCCCAGCTCTTAAGGTCAAAGAACCCCTCCAGAAGCATCTGTCCTCAAAGGCATTCTGGTTTGAGACTCAATTTAGAGTAAGGCGTAACATATGTTAACAGAAGTCACACACAGTGAAGAAAAAGGGC